TAAGTTATAGTAATCGCAAAAAAATCGAAAATGATAATTTTTATATATCCTTACGTTCCAGAGGTTTCTGAACATTTTGGCATACCTTAGAAAAAATTGATGTATGTGTGTGTGCGTGTATGTGTGTGTTCGGATACAAATTTTCGTCGACGATTTCGGGAACACGGATGAAGCGATTTGCATAACTCAAAAACATTCGGTTCGTATTGATAAGGAGACGTGCACATTATTTTTTGGCAAAGGCAGGTTTAGCTGTTCCGAAGATATGGGACAAAAAGTGCCAAAAACGGTTTCTCAGTTTTTAAGAGAACGGAGCGTCCGATTTGAATAATTCAAAAAACATTTTACTTGTATTATCAAGATGAAGAACTGATCAAATTTTCATGAAGGTAGGTCTAGCGGTTTCGGAGATCTTGTAAAAAAAATAAAAACATGCCATTTGGCGGTCAAAAATGATCATTAGACATATGCATGTCAAATTATCAGATATTTTATAGAGATTTTAACAATAAGTATAAATTTTGTTTACATTCCTATGGGTTCCGTACCAATGTTTATCCGTTAGACGGCGACGTGGCGCTTACGCGCTTCGATATTTCGTTTCTATGCAGTTAAAACAGTACGATTGCTTTGAAAAAAAGTTCAGTTTCCAAAATATTTCAAAATAAAGAAAACATTTTTTTCAAAAGGTCTTTTTTTCCTAAAAAAGTAAATTTTTGTCAAAAGTTATATATATATATATATATATATATAAAGTTAATAAATTATAGTTTATAGTTTATTAAAAATCTAATTTTTCAAAGTAATTTTTTTTCAAAAATGTTAATCTTAAAAAAAAATGTTTTTTGGTACTGGAAGTTTCAGCAATTTGCCTTATGGCACGATGCCATGCGTCCCACTAGTTTTTTTTCAAAATCCTCAATGTTTTTCAAACCATGAACTTTAAAAATTACGGTAGGAAAGGTCCAACATTTTGTCTTATGGCACAATGTAATGCACCACCAGTTTTATAATAGCTGCTAAAAAGAAAATATAAAAAACGATACTAATAATGCATTTGAAATTTTAGCATCTTCCATATAAAGTTGTGGATATACTAACTGGTTCTTTTCTTTCAGAATGCTACCAACCATGCCTAACGGCGCATAGCATACCTGGAGTCTGCGTACCTTTGCCAGAATGCGAGGGAAGCGTTCAGCTTACAGATCAGGTCGCCTCCAATAAGACGATTAGAGACTATGTTGTAAGATCATATTGCGGAAGAAGAACTAGCCAAATCGTGAGTTAAATTTATATTACCAAAATTGAATTTAGATTACAGATTCTGAATTGCTTCTATCACTTTCTATATCTGTTTATTAATTTTTCGTGAGGTATGTTATAGTAATCGTAAAAAATCGAAAATGATTTTTTTAACTTCCTGTAGGGTAAGTTATTGTAATCGTCAGAAAATCGAAATTGAAATTTTTTGCATTTCTCGACGTTTTGAAGGTTTCTGAACATTTTGGCATACCTCAGAAAAAATAGATGTGTGTGTGTGTGTTTTGTGTGCCCGCATTTTTTCGTTCACGTTTTCGGGCAACCTATTTGAATCGTTTAAAAAACATTCGATTCCTATTGATAGGGAGATGTGCTGATTAGTTTTTGGCAAAGGCAGGTCTAGAAGTTACGGAGATAAAGAGCAAAGAGTGCAGAAAATAGAAATCGAGTTTTTGAGAGAACTGAGCATCCGATTTGAATGATCTAAAAACATGCAATTAGTAATGATTGGGAGAAGTGGTTATTAGTTTTTGGCAAAGGCATCCCAGCCATTTCGAAGATACAGAGCTAAATGTGCAAAAAATGGCAGTTTTTGAGAGAACTAAGCGTCTGATTTAAATAATTTAAAAAACTTTTTGCTTGTTTTAACAAAATAATTGATTTTGGAATAAAATATTTGTTTCAAAAATTTTTTTTTCAAGTTTTTTTAAGATTTTTTTTGTATATCGAAAATAATTCTGATTTTATTTTTAATTCTGACCAAAGTTCTAATGTACTTTAACTTTTTTTTAATAATTTCAACTTTGCAATTCAGTTTATATAATTTTATAAATATTAGACAATGTACAATATTTATAAAAATCTATATATAAAACATTTAATATTCCTCGAACATTTTGTTATGGTACAGGGAAGGTCCAGGAATTTGCCTTAAGGTACGATGCCATACACCCAGGGCCGGATTTAGAAATTTGGCGCCCCGGGGTACTGACAAAAATGCCGCCCCATCCCTTAAATTTTACGAACTTTCGAACTTTTTTTAAAGCAATCGCGCTGCTTTAGCTGCGGATGACAAAATATAGAAGCGCGTAAGCGCCGCGTCGCAGTCTAACGGATAAACAATGTTACAGAACTTATATAAATGTAAACAAAATTTATACTTATTATTATAATATCTTTAAAATATCTGATAATTTAATGTGCATAAGTCTTATGATCACTTTTGTCCGCCAAATGTTTCTTTTTCAAATTTTTTTATTGGATCATCAAAACCGCTAAACCTGCCCCCACAAATTTAAGCAGTTATTTATTCTGTAAAATTTTTTGAATGTTATTGGACGCTTTTTTTTCAAAAACTGAATTATCATTTTTGGCATTTTGGCTCGTATCTTCAAAACTTATGGACCTGCCTTGACCAATAACTAATCAGCACGTCTCCTTATCAATAAGAATTGAATCATAAATCGGTTGATCCGTGTTCTCGAAATCGACTTGAATTGAATAATTAAAAAATATTAGATTTGTATTGATGGGGATACGTGCTGATTAGCTTTTGGTACAGGCAATTACGAAAAATGGTAATTTAGTTTCGATATTTCTTCTCTGAAACAGTTACGCAGCGCGATTGCTTTGCAAAAAGTTCATAGTTTTCGAAAAATTTCAAAATACAAGAAATGTGTTTTAGAAGTCTTTTTTTCATTTTTCAATAAAATTTAAAGCTCTTTATAAAATGTAATTTTTAGTACGGGATGTTTCAGTAATTTGTCTTAAGGCACAATGCCATGAATCACTAGTTTAATTTTTTTTTTTCGACGCTATAAGCTTGGAAGTGCACAAATACGTCATTTTAAGAGGGCTCGAGAACTGAAGAAGATCTTTATATTAGCCAAATTGCCAAATTTGATAACTTATTAACCATTTTGATAATTTACGTTTGGAGAGGGAGACAAGGCAAAATAATAAATTTTAGTTATCGTTTATTTCAACCCAAATTTTGCATTGCAATCGTATTATGTTTTGTTAATTATATTTCTTGAAATAAAAAATGTTGTTAAAAAAAGTTGATTATATTGTATAAAATTTTTTTTTCACTATCCAAATTTTGCCGCCCCTCAAAATTTGCCGCCCTGGGCGGTAGCCCCGACTGCCCCTACTGTAAATCCAGCACTGCATACACCCCACTAGTTTTGGATATCTTTACGTTTCAAAGCCTTCTAATACCTTAAAAAATTTATGTTTTTTTGTATAGAGGAGGATATGCGTTTATGCATCCCAGATTGGGTCTTTTGTCTGAGTATGTCATACTCAATAACGCCTGGGTATAATTCCGACTAAAACTTTCGCTTATCTTTTGCCTCTGGTCGCCACGCCATGACTTCATGGAGAGGATCCAGAATGCTATAATTCTCTCTCTCCGAAATTATTCTTTTATTCTAATAATTGCCATTCGCTTATTTTAATTTCCCATTGCGTAAGTTCTAGGTTCTAGTAATCGCAATACAATCAAAAATGAAAATTTTTGCATTTTTTACGCTTCAAAGATTTTTGAACATTTTGGCATACGTTAGAAAAAATTGATATGTGTGTATGTATGTTTGTATACAATGTTTCGTCCACAATTTGAATGATTCAAAGAACCTTCGAATCTTATTGATGGATAGTGAATCATTTCTCTTAAAATGTGAGTTTGAAAAATACATGCATGCAACCCTCAATTTTCACACTTCTCAAATTCATAAATCATTTTTAACCGAATCGATAACTATTAATTGACTATAGTCAATTATCGTCTTTTTGTGGATGTTTTTCACTAAATTTTTTAAAGAAAAGTCTCAAAAATATTAAAATTTTAAGTAACGAATAAGATTAATATATAATAAATAATTATATCCGGTATCGTTTAATGCACATTTTGTATATTGTTTAAAATTTTGTATTATAATTTGAAAAATATTTAAATTGGAAAAATAAAAATCGAATAAAAGTACCAAAAATCGAATATTTTTGGAAAATTCTCAATGATATAATAGATGTTCTGCATTATTTCCAATGAAAATATGAGAAAAATTAATCGCTATGCCAAAAGGGATAGTTTAAAGAATTTATAGTATGAATGTTATAATTTTGAGAAATAATCAATTAATTTGCAGTCATAAATTACAAGAAAAAATACAAAGGTGCCAAAAATCAGGCATTCGATATATGTTCTCACAAACTACAGAACCTGATCCATACTGGTCCTAATAATAGATTGAATCTTAATTTGAGATCGGAAAATTACATAATGATTTAAAGTCATTTATATGTAACAACAAAATTCAGTAAATTTGATCTGTGTCAGATAATTCACAAAGTAAATACTAAATGCTTTAACAAATGCCCATTAATGCAATTGTGACCAATAAACCCATTCATAAATGCCTTACCATAAAACATGTTAAAATGATATCAAGCAAAATAATAAAATACCACTACCATTTCATACTATTTATTGAATCTAACAAATAGCAAAAACATTTTATAACATGTTTACAAATATTTAAATTCAATTTAACAAATATGGTTATATTTCATTGATTTTCATCATGCTTCGGACTATGAAGGGCCATGTGTTTCTTCAAATCGTTTAATTGAGTAAATTTCTGTTTGCATATTTCACATTTATAAGGATGCTCTCTATTATGAATCAGCATGTGTTTTTTCAGAAAACTTAATCGTATGAATGTCTTATTGCATATGCTTCATTCATGCGAACCCTTATGAATGATCATGTGTCTTTTTAGATCACTTAACTGTATGAATGTCTTATTGCATATATTGCATTCATAAGGGTGCTCACTACTGTGAAAGAGCCTGTGCTTATCTAGATGTTCTAATAGTGTGAATGTCTTCTTGCATACATTGCATTTATGAGGTCGCTCAGCACTGTGAATAAGCATGTGTTTTTTAAGAATACCTGATTGTGTGAACGTCTTATTACAAATACTACATTCATGAGAGCGTACTCCGCTGTGAATCAGCATATGACTTTTCAAGCCGTGTCCTTGTGTAAATGTCTTTTTGCATATATCACATTCATAGGGGCGCTTATCATTATGAACGAGCATGTGTCTATTCAAACTACATAATAGTGTGAATGTCTTCTTGCATATATTGCATTCATGGGAACGCTCACCCTCATGAATGAGCATGTGTCTTTTTAGATCACTTAACTGTATGAATGTCTTCTTGCATATATTGCATTTATGAGGTCCCTCCGCACTGTGAGTGAGCATGTGTCTTGTAAGACTACCTGATTGTGTGAACGTCTTATTACAAATACTACATTCATGAGGGCGTACTCCGCTGTGAATCAGCATATGACTTTTCAAGCCGTGTCCTTGTGTGAATGTCTTATTGCATATATCACATCCAAAGGGGCGCTTACCATTATGAACGAGCATGTGTCTATTCAGACTACATAATAGCGTGAATGTCTTCTTGCATATATTGCATTCATGAGGGCGTACTCCATTGTGTGTCATCATGTGATTTTTCAGATTATATAATTGTATGAATGTCTTATTGCATATACTGCATTCATGGGGACGCTCAGCTTTGTGAAGGAGCATGTGTCTATTTAGAACAGCTAATCGTGTGAATGCGTTACCGCATATTTCACATTTAAAGAAACGTTCTCCAGAATGTATATTCATGTGAGACTTCAAATGTTTTGATAGTTTGAAAGTCTTATCGCAAATTTCGCATTTAAAAGGGCGTTCTTTGCTATTACTAGGCATGTGATCAACCACATGCTCTTTTAAATGGTGTGATTCTGCAAATGCTCGATTACAAATGTCACATTCATAATTGATGTCTCGATTAACTCCTGTTTGACTTCTTCTACTATAGTCACTTCGGAATTCATGAATCTTTCTAAACACGTTTCATTATTCTCAGAACAAGATTCAGATTTGACACTATCATCAAAAACGTCAAATTCATCATCATTTTCGCTTTTAATGTCTTCTACTGAATATTCTGGTGGTTCAATTTTAATTGCCCTATCGTTTATGGGCAAAATTGTTTCTTCTGACATTTTTAATTATTTTACTGCTGCTACTGTGTGCTAAATAAAAATCAATAATATTTTAAAATATGATTATTTTAACTAAATTTACTAAACCAAATGTTATTTGACATTTGAAGCATAGAGTATGCTTTTAGAAAGATGAGACTGTAACAAATTCGTTCAGAGCGTGACTGCAGCGCCCATGCAGCGCCGTAATAAATGAACTAATTGTGGCTATCAGTGTGTGGTTTTCATGTGTTTTATATGTTTATTAAAGAAAAAAGATATTAAATAATTGTTATAAATAATAATAAACAAGATACAGTAATAATGTGAACGCTGAATGTTTATTCAAATTATTAAATTTACTTCAACGTGCTTAAAACATAATTAAGTATAATGATTAATTAAATGATGAAATGCAGTAAACATTTTTAAGGTTAAGTGCCTCAAAGCTTAATCTCGGAATAGTTCTTAATAAAAACAATATAATAATGATAATAATATTTTATCAATAGAATAAGTAAATAATAAATTAATTTACTCATTTTTTTATTATTTTTGGTCCAACTAAAGACTTACAATAGACATTATTATAAAGACATGATTTGATTCCATCATCCATCAGATAATATTGCAGGAAAAAAAACTACATTAACTTTTCGAGGCTTGTAAATTGAAGGAAATATTGTTGGCAAGTAGATAGGACTCAATACCTCGTCCGATTTTTTTCCTCTAATGAAATGTTCACTGCAAATGCGATCATAGGGCTTGGGAACCCACGGCGGTGTATTTCAGCAATGTATTGATTGAACTGTTTGCAAAATAAACATTTTAGCGCTATGTGATAACTTTTATTTTCCTTTTAATCATAAAATTACAATTATTATATAATAAAATGTAATTAATATATAGATAATAGTTATACATAATCAATATACAATATATAAATATATATTTTTCTATATTTCAGTCTTGTATTAATTACATTGTTTGCAAAACAATTTTTTCTAGTAAGCATTAAATTTTGATAATATAACAATTTATTGACTTATAATTTTTCTTTTTGCTAAACATAACAATTTTACAACTATTCATAGTACTTCGAATTGAATTTTTATAACAATAAGGTTATGATACTTACTTTATTCTTCTAACCGCAGCTATCCACTTTTCCTTTGATTTTCTTTCCACTTAGCTGTAGAAAATGAATAGAATTTGCAGTCACTTTTTCTGCCGGTATTTCTACAATCCACTACACAACAGCTTTGGTGGCTCATTTTTAATTATCTTATTTAAATTTGAAATAAACAAATATTTCATGTGTTTTTGTTTAAAATTTCGGTTATAATAGCTACATTTAATGCTCAAAGTAGCCACTACGAACGCTTCGGTCGATTTGACTTCCCCTTCCATGCCTTCGCACATAGCCAATAGCGTTGACATTTAACTAGCGGCGCGTTTTTTCAAAATATTATGATTCTTTTATATTGCAACTGTCCACAAACGTTTTTATTAACGACATTAAAGTAATATGAACTGGTGATGCATGGCATCGTGCCTTAAGGCAAATTGCTTACCGTACCAAACATTATTTGTTTAAAAAAAGATTAAATTTTTTTCTAAACTTTGAAAAACTTTACAAATTACAAGTTAAAGTAAAAGTTACAACTTTTGAAAAAAGTGACATTTTTGGAAAAAAGACTTTTCGAAAAAAAAAGTTTCTTTATTTTGAAATATTTTGCATAGCTGCATAGAGTCGAAATATCGAAGCGCGTAAGCGACGCGTCGCGGTCTAACGGGCAAACGATGTTACCGAACCCTTAGAAATGTGAACAAAATTAATACGTAAAGATATATAAAAAAAAATATTTTTGATTTTTTTGAATTTTTAAAACCGCTGCACCTACCTTCCAAAAAAATCAATAAATTTTTTATTCCTTTAATATAAGTGATTTTTTTCGGAATCATTCAAATCTTTCGCTCTTTTAAACTGAATTTATTATTTTTTTTACTATTTGTTTCTCCGTTTCTCCACCAATAAAAACTGAATGTTTTTGAATCGTTCAAATCGGTTTATCAGTGCTCTCGAAATCGTGGACAATAATTTGTATCCAAACATAGATTCGTACAAGATACACACACACACATACGTCCATTTTTTCTAAGGTATGCAAAATGTTCAGAAGATCTTTAAACGTAATTAGTGGGGCGCATGGCATCGTGCCTTAAGGCAAATTGCTGGAACTTCCCGTACCTTTTTCCGTACTTTTTTGATAATTTAGATTTTTTTCGAAGCTTGGGAAATTTTTGAAAATAATCGATTTTTTGAGAATTGGGAAATTTTTGAAAATAATCGATTTTTTCGTTTTTCTTTCTTTTCTTTTGAAATTTTTAAAAATATTCGATTTTTCTTTAATTCTTTTTTTTTAATTTTTCGAAATTTAGTTTTTTTTAAAGGTTGAAAAATTTCGAAAATTTGAATTTTTTGAAACTTTGATTTTTTTTGAAAATTTTGATTATTTTATTTGAAAATTTTGTTTTTTTTTTAATTTTCATAATCAATAAATTTTCTGTAAATGTATTTTTTGCACACCATCTACTCAAGCAAAATGTTTTTTGAATTATTAAAATCGGACGCTCCGTTCACTTAAAAACTGAATTACCGTTTTTGGCACTTTTTGCCCCGTATCTTCGGAACGGCCAGACCTGCCTTCGCCAAAACCTAATCAGCACGTGTACTTATCAATACAAATCAAATGTTTTTTAAATTATTCAAATCGGTTATTTTATACTGTCGAAAATTTCGAGAATATTTGTTTGAACTATATACATGAATTTTAAAATTAAAAATTTTGGTACGGAACCCAAAAAAGTTTACGCAAAATGGGTACAAATTGTTAAAATCTCTATAAAATATCTGATACTTTGATGTACATATGTACAATAAACTTATTTGACCGCCAAATGCCAATTTTTTAACTTATTTTTATTGAGAATCCATAACCGCTAGATCTGCCTTTCCCAAAATTTTACAAGTTGTTCATTCCGTCAATACAAGTAAAATGTTTTTTGAATTAATAAAATCGGACGCTTCGTTCTCTTCAAAACTGAGTTACCGTTTATGGCACTTTTTGCCCCGTATCTTCGGAACGGCTGGACGTGCCTTCGCCAAAAACGATAATCAGCACGTCTCCTTATCAATACGAATTGAATGTTTTTTGAATTATTCAAATCGGTTGATCGGTGTTCCCGAAATCGTCGACGAAAATTTGTATCCGCACACACACACGCACACACACACATACACACACATACACACACATACACGCACACACACACATACATCCATTTTTTCTAAGGTATGCAAAAATATTCAGAAACCTTCGAAAGGTAAAGATATATAAAAATTTTTATTTTCGATTTTTTTGCGATTACTATAACTTATCCTACGGGAAGTTAAAAATATGCAAACATTTTTATTTTCGATATTGTTGCGGTTACTATAACTTACTATAAAGGAAGTTAATAAATTGAGTAGGTACTTGCTAATGGTCCTAATTTCTCAATGACAAATTTATTCAATAATACTACATATTAACATATTAAGTACTCAAATAACGAAAAACTAGACAATGAGATGCATTTAATACATTTTCATATATCTTGCTATGAATATATAAATCATGAATATATAAATAATGTAAATCACTTTTTATTTTAAAAAAAATACGTTAAACATTATTATTATTTGTCTTTATAAATATAATTTATTCCCTATTTTTTGTTTTTCTTTTCAGGTATGCTGCCCAATTGGCGGTAAACCATTCGGATCCTTTCAAAATGTTCAAGATATAAATCGGGTGTTGCAAAATTCTGTCACTCAACCAGCCAACGATCGAGTCTTTGAATCGACTTTACAAAACATGAACAACCGTGAAAGTCTCAATAACCCTCAATTATTCACTTTAAATCCATCTAATCAAAATGTGTTCAACACTCCACTGAACCCTCAAATATCAATTCAAAGACCATTCGAATCAAATCTTGGGAATTTACAATCATCAAATATCAATCAAAATCAGTTTAACGAACGACGACCAATAATCGAGCCAAATCCTTTAGGCTTGCAATCATCGGTTATAGGGCCAAATCGGATTAGTCAACCATCTTCAATTATTCAATCAAATGGATTAAACTCACAAGCGCCAATGCCTTTTCCACTTAATCCACAATTTATCAGGCGAACTTTAATGCCGGAATCGTTTATTCCAAAACCTGAGCCTTTTAGGCCGCAGCCATTTAATCCTCAAACTTTTGTTCCGATTGGTAATAGATATGGGAATGATGACGAAGAATATGAATTTGAAGATGATGATTGTAACCATGGTGATGTTGGAGAATATGATCACTCAGATACATATCATCAGCACCATCAAAATCCACATAAAAATCACCAAAATCATCATTATTTAAATCCAACAAAACATCCAAATTATTTGCCGCCTCATCAGGATTCGTTCGAAAATCAAAAAAAGAAAGATGAAGATGACTCAAAGATTTATTTTGAACCATTCGCGCATAACATGCAACATTATCCAAATCAGTTTGGCCAGAATCCACATTTACACACTATGGTTGATAACAGACCACCTCGACCTATTCACCAACAGAAACCTATTGTCCAGCCATATCCAATAAACCAACGCCCTCCAATAGGTCAACAAATTCCAATAAATAATCAACAATCACTTAATCAAAGACCAGCTAATGCAGGAATAAACCAACGACCTCCAATAGGTCAACAAATTCCAATAAATAATCAACAATCACTTAATCAAAGACCAGCTAATGCAGGAATAAACCAACGACCTCCAATAAGTCAACAAATTCCAATTAATAATCAACAATCTCTTAATCAACGACCAGCTAATGCTGGAAACAGACCACAAGAAAAAGAACCTACTTATGAAGATTTTGGCGGAGAATTTGTAAAACTTCCTTTAGTTCTAATTGATAAGCCACCAAGTAATGGACAACAGTCTAGTAGCTTACCAGCAACTCGGCCAATTAATAATCAACAATTTATTCAAATTCCTGGACCAAATGCGCCAACAAATATGATGCAGCCCATTCCCAAACCAGATAGACCAAGCAATGACAATTTAGATAGAATAAACGAAAATCAAGGACTAATAGTTAATCCACAAGGTAAGAAATAATTTTCAAATTTTATATTAAATAATATTCTCTAATCATATTTATTATATGCTTCTACCTATATGTATGGTCATACCTGAATTTTTAATTGAACAACTTTAGCTTTATTCTAAGTATCAAAATATGCTATTCTTTTTTGTAAAAATATTCATAAACTATCTATGAAAGCTATAAATACGATATTTTAGATAAAACTCAAGATTTTGATTATGGTGATCTGCCAAATAGTGACAAACTAGTGCTCCACCCAACGGTGAATAATGTTTTGTTGCCGCCATTTCGTGAAAGTGAGCAATCAATTAACTCCAATGGTGATCAAAATAGTGTTAATAACATTACACAAGATGGAAATAGTAACACAAATAATGAAAATAATTTATTAACAGTTCAAAAACTGATTGATAGAATTTTCTCAACTGATAATAGAGATATGAGCATTTTTGCATCAGCCAATGGCAAAGATTTATTTGGAACAAACTTATCAAATACCAATTCTGGTGTACGAGATAATATTAGTCCAACGGAAAAATTTAATCAATTGTCTAATACAACTCTTATGGTAACAACTGTACAACAACTCATTGACGAACTATTTCCATTCCAAAATGCAAATAGTACAAATCTGACAAGTTCCAATAGTGATACGGATTCGCCTAGAATGTTTGAATCAAACATAAAAACCACCAAAAATCAACAGCAAGGATTCAATATACCTTCTGATAACAAGCAAACAGATGGTGTATTTGGAGGAGAAAATGCTACTATAGTTAGCATTGAAACAAATCCGCCAATTACAAATGAAACAGTTAATACAGGAACAAGAAATAACATCCAAAATGATACTGCTGAGAACTCGGACCAAGTCGTGGAACCACATTTGAACCAAACACAACTTCTAGATTTGACTGGTAAAAATCAGTCATTGTTGAGTGATAATAATGGAATTCAAAAAATAAAGATTGATATTCGATTCGGAGAAGACAATAGTACCGAAAAACAGGTTACTGAACCAATTTTAGCTTCCAACATCACTGAGCAACTAATTACTAATAAACCAGTTGACGTTCAACAAATACCGATTCCAACAGTGAGTCAAGATAGTTATATAAAACCTGGTCACAGACCTATTTATGCATACACAGGGAGTTATGGACAGTCACCATATTATACACAAACCTCAAAATATCCAAATAATGCAAATGTATTTGATCATTTCGAGAGTTATCGCAATTTCTTTTTGTTTGCAAGACAAAGTTGGGATCGCGTTAAAGAATCATTAAGAAAGCATTACTGACCAAACGTCAAGAAAATTATTTATTGATGATAATTATCAGTAAATATTAAGATAGACAAATTAATTTCCGATGTTTGGTATGAAAACGACAGTTTAGAGCCAAAACAAAAATTATTAAGTAAAAACATTAATAATATTGATACACTTATAATTTTATTAAATATGGTAGAGGGGGGGGCACAAAGTTCCGATTTGATTTTAAATAATTTTACTATCTAAATCTAAACCAAATGAACTATATCACAACACATAAGGCGTATCAAACAAGCAGCTTTTACTGTTTTTCTAAAATTTGTTATCTGTCCCTTTTTACCCCATAGACTGAGTAACAACAAATAGCCAGAGGACAAACATATTTAATGTCTTAATTTTGACATTATTCAACCAATTCAACCAAAATTATAAATGTTATGGGCACATTTACGTATACATAATTAACCTTAATCTGTAATTCTGTAATTCGTCAGAAATAATTATCATCAGTATTGGAACTGATACAGTTTTAAAACTTCTTTTCTTAATTTAATTTACTTTTTTATTATATTAACTTCCCGTACGGTAAGTTATTGTAATCGTCCAAAAAACAAAATTGAAAATTTTTGCATATCTTTATGTTTTAGAGGTTTCTGAACATTTTGGCATACCTTAAAAAAATCGATGTGTGTGTATGTGTCGATACAATTTTTTGTCGACAATTTTGGGCGTACGAAACAACCGATTTGAATGAATCAAAACACAATCGATTTCTATTGATAAGGAGACGTGGTGATTAGTTTTTGGCAAAGGCAGGTCCAGCCGTTACGGCGATACGAAGCAAAGAGTGTGGAAAATTGAAATCGAGTTTTTTAAAGAACGGAGCATGTGATTTGAATGATCCAAAAAACATCCAATTTGTGATGATTAGGATAAGTGGTGAATAATTTTTGCGAAAGACAGGTCCAGCCGAGCTAAAGCTCGAAGATACAGAGCTAAATGTACAAATAATGCAGTTATTGAGAGACTGATCATCCGATTTGATTAATTCAATTTCTGCTTGTGTTGACAAAACAATTGCTTTCGAAAAAATATTATTTAAAGTTCTAAAAATTACTTATATAATTTAAATATATAATTTCAACTATGTAATTTATTTATATAATTTTTATAAATATTTGACAATGTTACAGTATTTATAATAATCTATTTCAAAAAATTTTAATATTCCTCGAACATTTCGTTACGGTGCGGGAAGTTCTAGCAATTTGCCTTAAGGCATGATGTCACACACCACTAGTTTCAATTTAACTTACTTTTTTGTGTACTATTTAACTTCCCACGGGGTAAGTTATAGTTATCGCTAAAAATCCAGTCCAATCTTTCAAAATGAAATCTTTTGCAAATAATTTTTGGATACAATTTTTTGTACATGATTTCGTGAACACAAATCAACCGAGTTGAATAATTCAAAAAACATTCGATTTGTATTGGCGGGGAGATTAGTGCTGATAGTTTTTGGCGCAGTTAGGTCCAGCCGTTTTGAAGATACGAGGCAAAAAGTGCATAGAAATGGTAATTCAGTTTGAGGGAACAAGGTGTTCGATTTGAATGATTTAAAAAATATTTTACTTGTATTGAGGATAAAGTTCTTCAGTTTCTGAGTTACAGAAGAAGAAATATATAGTAATTATAATTAACTGGGAGTTTTACTGAACAGAGTACGATAGTTTTGTTTTTGATACGAGTTCTATATTGTGATGTATTTCAACTGGTTTAGATAGTATATATAATTGCTTGAAGTCATAATAGACCTATGTGCCCCGCTCTACTCTACATCAATTTTATATCTGTCAATGTATAAAATTCTAGAAAGCACCTGAAGTAAATTCAATTTTTTGTAATCAATCAAGGCACTGTTTATTCAATAATTTCTGAGTAACATTTCGTCGAATTAGCTCTATTAGAATTATAATTATAACATTTTTTGTTTTTCACGGTAAGGAAATTTGAAACTGCCAATGGTAAAGTTGTAAATATTTTGTTCTTGAAAATAGCACTACATGAAGAACATTTTACAATTGTCTACCGTATACTAAAGACAAAAAAATATCAGTATTTTAGCCCAATACGAACTTATTAGTAATTACTTATAAATTATTACTTAGTATCAATAATTATGATATTATCACTATAAGTATTTTAGAATAATCTATTTAGTGTTTTTTTATGCTTTGGTTTGTGTAGAAAAATGTTGGATATTATTTTCGAATAAATGTGAAATATATAATTTTAGACTCTTGATACTTTAGCTTTTTTGCTTTCATAACGCCCAAACCTTTCATGTTTATTTATGCATTTAAAAATTAAATTGAACATATATAAGCAAATACTAAATACGCATGCCTTACATCAGCGGTTTCCAACCTTTTCTTCCTTGCGCCCCCCTTTCGAATAAAAAAAATATTGCGCCCCCCCCCTTCTTATTTTTCTAACAATTTAATTTAAATATACTTATATAACTAAAATTATGCCAAATAATACACAGTATTATAAAAAATATACATACAAACATAACTATTTATTATAAGAATTTTCTGTTTCACATAAGTAAGATCTCACAAATGGTAATAACATTTCTAAAGCATTATTTTCCAAAGTAGGAGAATCGTCTTTTACTGGTAACCAAAACTTAACAATATATTTTCGTTCCGAAACATCTGCGTCAATGTTCTATCACTAGATAAATCAATTATTATTTTCTGCTTTGCTGTTGAATGACCAAAATCATCATGTTTCTCAATGACAAATGGATTTCTAATCCATTTGTATTTGGACGTAATTAGATAAAGTAATGCGAAAATTGGTTTCGTAGACTAGTCATATGATTGATATAATAATAAGATCTTTACTTACTTCTATTTCATCAGAAATACAAGTAATTTTAAAAGTGGGAGACATGTTAAAGTTATAAAGTTATTTGATACTAGCTATACACAGTTCTAATTTTTTCATTAAAGCCGTAATCTTGTCTTTCTGAACAAAAGCACGAATTTGAGATCCTTGCATTGATTTAATTAAATCGCTAAGTGTTTGAAAAATATCAACTAAATACGCAAATTTTGCGAGGAACTTTGTGTCCTAAAACAAGATTGCTCCGTCTCTTTCGTTATCAGCAAGAAATATAGCAATTTCTTTTTTGAGTTCAAACACTCTTAGAAGTACTATAAGTATTTTGCTGATTTGTTTTTGACACTTACTCAGCAATTAAAAATAATATTTTTGAAACAGCTTCGCGCCTCCCCTGGAACGGTATGGCGCCCCCCCCCAGGGGGGCGCGCCCCACAGGTTGGAAATCACTGCCTTACATACACATATTTTACACATATAAGGTTATTATTAACTTCTCGTTGGATAGTTATAGGAATTGTTCAAAAATCGAAAATGAATATTTTTGCTTACATTTACGTTTCAGAGGTTTTTGAACATTTTGGCGCACCTTACAATTAGAAAAAAAATTTGTATGTGTTAATACAAATTGTCCAAAACAGTCCACGATTTTGAGCGCACGAATAACCAATTTGAATTATTTAAAACGCATTCGATTCCTATTGATGGGAAGAGGTGCTGATTAGTTTTTAGCGAAAGTTTCGGCGATACGGGGCAAAAAGTGTGAAAATGACAATTCGGTTTTTGAGAGAACGGAGCATCCAATTTGAATGATTCAAGAAACATCTGAATTGTAACGAAATATTGGAATTTCTGCGAATGCAGGTCTAGTGGTCTCGGAGTTTCAGAAGGAAAGTAATATATAATGCCATTTGACAGACCAAAATAAACTTTAGAGATATGCACATAATTTTATCAGATATTTTATAGAGATTTGTGTAATAAGTACCAATTTTGTTTCGAGTTTTATGGGTATGAAACCCATACAAAATCGCAATCAAGATTTGTATTGGGTTTACTTATATAGTTCGAACAAATGTCCTCGACATTTTTGACAGTATGGAACAACTGAAATTTCAGAATGTTTAAGATTTCAACCAAAATCAAACTTTTAAAAATAAATTATTAACATTTTCTAATTTTACAAAAATTTCCAGAATTTTATATAAATTTCATGATTTTCAACAAAATGTTCAAATTTGTTAAATGTTTCCAAAATATTCAGTAATGTACAAAAAAAATCCAAATACTCAAAAACAAATCTAATTTTTCTTCTCAAAGTTTGTAGAAATTCTAAATTACGACACGGAGAGTTTCAGTAATTAGCTTTTGCTTTTTTCCGTAATTTGTAATTTGCTTTTTTAGAATGGCACGATGCCATGCATCACTGGTTTTAATTTTATTATTTATCTAAAACTACGTAATTATGAGCCTGTAAGGAAGTAAATGCTAAATCATTTTGACTTTAGTCGAAATCACTTTACATAAAATTTTGCGGTTTGAATTGAACGCATGGTGAGCAGCTTCTGCTAAAGGTGACATTCAGTAATTTTTAAGGGGATTTTTAGCAAATTGCATGCTGCATCAAATTAAATACAGACATTTAGACTTCAGATTTTACAAAAAACTCGCAGACTGAGTGAAAATCACCAACAATCTTGAAATTCTCATAATACAGAAAAAATACTTTACAAGAAAGATTTTAACACAGATAATAATTTTTGCAATTAATTTAACTTCATTTATTTCCACAAATCTTTTAAAGTCTTGATTAACAAAAATAAATTATAACAAAAAAAATACGTCTTCACTCTTCTGATTACTGTTTAAAAATGAAATTTTTCTATTCATTTTTTTAACAGATTTTGTTTTATTAGTATTTATATTTAATATTTGCAATTTTTTCAGTTTTAATTATAAACATACATGAAAGACATAAAATAAGTAAATATAATTACAAATGGTAAACACATTGAAATTAGAAAGATTATAGATTATATACATAGATACCAACAAAACTAAAAATCTGCCTACAAAATAAATTGGAAAATTTTATTCTTAAACTGTACTTAATCTAC